CCCCCACAGGGTGCCCCTGGGGACACGGTCATAAGCCTTCTCCAAATCCACAAAGCACATGTGGATTGGTTGGGCAAACTCCCATGCCCCCTCCATCACCCTTGCAAGGGTATAGAGCTGGTCCACAGTTCCACGGCCAGGACGAAAACCACATTGCTCCTCCTCTATCTGAGATTCAACTATCGATCGGACCCTCCTCTCCAGTACCTTGGCGTAGACCTTTCCAGGGAGGCTGAGGAGTGTGATCCCCCTATAGTTGGAACACACCCTCAGGTCACCCTTCTTAAAGATGGGGACCACCACCCCGGTCTGCCACTCCCTAGGAACTGCCCCCGATGACCACGCAGTGTTGTAGAGACGTGTCAACCATGACAGCCCTACAACATCCATAGCCTTGAGATACCCAGGACGAACCTCATCCGCCCCCGGGGCTCCGCCGCTGCGTAGTTGTTTGACTACCTCAGCAACTTCTGCCCCCGAGATCGGACAGTCCATCCCCAGGCCTCCCAGCTCTGGTTCCTCCTCGGAATGCGCATTGGTGGGATTGAGGAGCTCCTCAAAGTATTCCTTCCACCGTCCGACTATAGCCTCAGTTGACGTCAGCAGCTCCCCATCCCCACTGTAAACAGTGTGAGCGAGTTGCTGCTTTCCTCTCCTGAGGCGCCGGACAGTTTGCCAGAACCTCTTTGGAGCCGATCGATAGTCTTTCTCCATGGCCTCACCAAACTCCTCCCACGCCCGAGATTTTGCCTCGGCAACTGCCACTGCTGCACCCCGCTTGGCTATCCGGTACCTGTCTGCTGCCTCCGGAGACCCACAGACCAGCCACGCCCTGTAGGCCTCCTTCTTCAGCCTGACGGCTCCCCGAACCTCTGGTGTCCACCAGCGGGTACGGGGTTGCCACCACGACTGGCACCGGCCACCTTACGACCACAGCTAGCAACAGCCGCCTCGACAATCGCAGAGTGGAACAAGGCCCACTCGGACTCAATGTCCCCCACTGCTCTCGGGACGTGGTCAAAGCTCTGCCGGAGGTGGGAGTTGAAGACCGTCTTGACAGGTTCTTCTGCCAGGCGTTCCCAGCAGACCCTCACTATGCGTTTGGGTCTGCCAGGTCTACGCGGCATGTTCCCTTGCCATCTGATCCAACTCACCACCAGGTGGTGATCAGTTGACAGCTCCGCCCCTCTCTTCACTCGGGTGTCCAAAACATACGGCCGCAGGTCAGATGATACGACTACAAAATCTATCATCGACCTGTGACCTAGGCTGCCCTGGTACCAAGTGTACCGGTGGGCATCCTTATGTTCGAACATGGTGTTCGTTATGGCCAAACTGCGGCTTGCACAGAAGTCCAATAACAAAACACCGCTCGAGTTCAGATTAGGTGGGCCGTTCCTCCCAATCACACCCCTCCAGGTCAAGCTGTCATTGCCCACGTGAGCACTGAAGTCCCCCAGCAGGACAATGGAGTCCCCTGATGGAGCACTATCTAGCACTCGTCCCAGGGACTCCAAAAAGGGTGGGTACTCTGAACTGATATTTGGCCCATAAGCACAAACAACAGTCAGGACCCGTTCCCCGACCCGAAGGCGCAAGGAAGCTACCCTCTTGTCCCCCGGGGTAAACCCCAACACACAGGCAGAGAGTCTCGGGGCTAACAAAAAGCCAACCCCAGCCCTCCGCCTCTCACCCGGAGCAACTCCAGCAAAGTAGTGTCCAACCCCTCTCCAGGTCTTGGGTTCCAGAGCCAATACAATGTGTCGAGGTGAGTCCGACTATATCTAGCCGGTACCGCTCAACCTCTGCCACAAGCTCCGGCTCCTTCCCCGCCAGCGAGGTGACGTTCCATGTCCCAAAAACTAGTTTTCTTGTCCGGGGATTGGACCGCCAAGGCTCCCGCCTTGGTCTGCCACCCGATTCGCATTGCACCGGACCCTTCATGTTCCTCCTGCGGGTGGTGGGTCCACAGTTGGACGAGCCCATGTATCTGGTTCGGGCTGGGCCCGGCCGGGCCCCATGGGCGAAAGCCCGGCCACCAGGCGCTCGCTCACGGGCCCCAACCCCAGGCCTGGCTCCAGGGTGGGACCCCGGTAACCCTCCGGGCCGGGTACTCCGACTCTTCGTTTTAACCGCCATGAAAGATCCTTCGGTTGTTTTTATTAAATATTATTAGTTTATTACACAAGCTGGGGTCAAAAAGTTTGATATGTTAAATAAGTTGTCTGCATGGTTGTTTTTTGATTTGTTTCAAAAACGCAATGTTTGTGCACTCTGCCAGATGTCCATGCAGTCACTTTGTGACCTTTCGAGCTAACCTAACCTACTTTTACAACTAGATGGTAATAAAAATGTGTCTTTGTACTTTTATTCTATTATAAAAATAATACAGCAGCTTCAGATACAAGGTTTGTGGTTTTATTCTAGGATTCTGTTCCACATTTTGTTTAGTTGTGTAGAAGAGATTTGTTTTAGATTACACGTGGGGATTGAATGGTTAAAGGGACTTTTCGGAGTTTTGAATTTTTAGGGTTAGGTTGGCTCGCGATTGCCCCCTCAGGCCAAAAGCGTAACGGCAGCTTCAATAGTAAGCTTGTGCACGAGGCGCGCATGCTGTACGTGCACACTCCTTAACGAAAATAACAGCTGAGACAGTCCCGTGTGTGTGTTTGTGGCCCAGAGGACAGGAGAGCACGCAGCTAATTAATTAAATAATTTGGTTCTGTACCTTTCTCTTCAGCACAGCCGACAAAGGTTTGTGATGGGTCAGTCCTCCTGCATGCTCAGATCATTCCCTTCCCTTGCTTGAAAAATTGCTCCAAAATGAAAGTTGAACCCACTTCTTTTTTATCTGTGAATTCAATGCCGTTCGGCAAGTCTCAAATAAAAATTTGGGCATCTTACTGTAAAATAAATATACCATTAATGTAAAAAATAAACTCTAAATAAATTATGTTCACATCCAGAATCGAACCCGGGTCTTCCGCACGGGAGACCGCCGTCTCACTGGGTGAGCTATAGCATCAGTGACATCTTTTGTATCTGTAATATTTATATCCGTGATGACAGCTGAAACAACGTTAAGATCGGTTCGGAGCGAAAATGGCTATGTTGTTGCTAATTTGCAGGAAATATCTAGAAGAAAGTAGCTAAGGGCCCTCAGAAATGTAGCTAGGTTCATCACTAGGCGTTAGGAACAGCGACAAAGTCGCTGAGTTGGCACTACCTCACTCTCTGCTGCTAAAGCTACGGATAGCAAATGCTACGGGCTATGCCCGAGCGTGAACGCGCATGAAGCAGCCTGCTCGACCCGAGCAGCTCTCTTTTTCTGTGATTTTACAGAAAAACAGGCAATCACAGTAAAAATGCCAGGGCTCATTCTACAGGACCAGGGCATTGCAGGAGAATGTATGAAGAAGAAATTTATTATTTCTATACATGTTTTGGCTGTCAAACTTCCATAATGCCCCTTTAACTCAAACATTTAAGGTAATGAGTGGTGGATCATGACAGGCAGGAAAATAAATATATTGATGAATGAAATTGGTTAATTGAGGTGTTATAAATATCTGAGATAACTGCTGAGATTGTGCGTTTATTAAAGATTTGATCTGTAATGTGGACTGGGCTGAAGAAGACATTAGTCAGTGTTGTTTCTGCCAATAAAATCTAGAAAATTAGACCGTCTTCAGTGCGTCATTGAAGAGACGTGCTTGGTGAAATGTGAGGTTATTAATAGAGACACCTGACAGCATCCTTTCTTGCAGGCATCAACAAATAAACATGCACACAGACAAGCACACACATCATATGGTTATCAAGCTGTGCCTGCTGTCATAACAAATGTCAGTTCTACGTAACGCGATGATGTGAAGCTCGTCCGGCTCCCAAGTGGACATTCCTGCACTGTAGAGCCCTTTGGTTATTTACTGTGCATGGTTTTTAAGTTCCTTACAGTTGAGTCACTATAGAGACAATCATTGATTGTGGGCACTTTGTTGGCACGATGGGTACCCATGAATAAATGACAAAAGGATGCGATTGATTTATGAAATTAAAGCTCACATTAAACTTGCACACTCCTCTGCTTTTCTTTCAGCCTTTGTGACGTTAAGTACGAGGCATTTCAAGCTCCTGTTGTAAGAAACGCACCTTTATTCCGACTTTGCTGCAGTCATGGCTCCAGTTAGTCGTAGGCTGATAAATCGGGTGCACTGTGTGATTTATTTTTTATTTTTGTCTATTTTTCACTCGTTCAACAATTTTGGAGGTCGGGTTTTGCGGAGCGTAGTGAACAGGGGGTTACGAGAAGTGATTAACATGTCGGTCATGACCAGCAACCGTGCGGTCGCACAAAAAAAACAGTTCCAGATGGAGTTGACTACGACGACGGAGAAAGTCACACCGTGTACTGCCGTCTAATTGGTGAATGTCTTTGGAATGTTTGATGTGGTCTTGCTGATCATCTGCTACACAGTCATACATAAATCTAGTTCTATGGCTCCTCCATGAGAGTTTCCCAGATCTTGAATGCCTTTGAGAGCCGTAACAACTATTTGGTCCAAAAACTGAAAACAAATCTTTGAATCATCAGAGCAGTCTGAACTCAAAGCTTGTATCTCAGATTAATTACGTTTGGATCTTTCTGGCATTCATCAAGAAAAGTGTCATTCTCCTTGTGAGTTCCTCCATTTATTGAAATAATTATCTTTATTAATTGTTCTACATCAGTGCCAGATGTGTTCAAGTATCAGATTTCTTACTATAGAAATGGTCGTTATTCTTGCAAGGCATTTTGTGCAGGACCGCATAAATTATAGTAAATGAGAACGGCTGCTTGACCAGAACCAGGTCATGCCCAGTTTTCATTTTAGAATCATGTGCACGACGACCGGGTGGTCATGTGATCGAGTACAAAAGTTAAACTTTACAGCAGCCTGTAAAAAAAAGAATAAACTTTATTGACTTTGTCGTTTCTTGGCCATTTGTTTTCTTCACAGATAAATGAGTTGAGCCATGTTCAGATTCCCATCATGCTCATGCCAGACGACTTTAAGGCCTACTCTAAGATTAAAGTGGACAACCACCTCTTTAACAAGTAAGGACAGAAACCATCACATGACCCATTTAGTTTGTGTCTCCTGATGTATCATTGTTTTTTTGTTTTGTTTTTTGTTTAATGTAAACAGGGAGAACATGCCCAGCCATTTCAAGTTTAAGGAGTACTGTCCTCTCGTGTTTCGAAACCTCAGGGAGAGGTTCGGCATTGACGATCAGGACTTCTCGGTATAAAGGGAGTCTGTTCTCTTCACGTGCACCCCTCCGTTTCTTTTATGGCATCTGAACCATTCAGAATCCTAGTTAGTTGGGATTATATAGTCACGGGTCTTTACAGACATTGTATAATGTTTAGTGTTTATTAGCTTTAGCCAGGTGGTGTTAAAAGTGCTGAGCTAGCACTAAAAAAAGCTTCACTGTCCTCATTGTACTGTTTCTTACTTTAGTTTGAACCAGTTGTTGGGATTTTTATACCCCTCAGATGATTGTTGGTGGTGGTGGGACTTAATCGAGGACAAAGCTAACTCAGGAGTGCACCATCTTTACTATGTTTTTCAACCATTTCTACCTTGTTGCCTGCTTGTAGAACTCCCTGACACGTAGCGCCCCCTTGAACAGCGAAGCCCAAGGACGCAGCGGGGCGCGCTTTCATACCTCCTACGACAAGCGCTACGTCATCAAGACCATCAGCAGCGAGGACGTGGCCGAGATGCATAATATTTTAAAGAAATACCATCAGGTACGAAGCAGAAAATGAATGAAAATACAGGAAGATTGATAAACACAAGCATTAATTTTAATGCAGAATTTGCAGCGCTTCATATTGGCTTACATTCATGGAGGGCATGCACGTTCTCACACACACACACGCACTCTCTTGTGCACGTTTAGGAAGCTATGAAAGAGTTGAGTGATGGGGTATTCTATCAGATTATCCATATTTGGACTCAGCCAGCTGTTTCCAACGTTGTCTATATGATCCATGTGCGGCTCTTGTACGTACACGTGTCGGGGTGCTTCTAAAGATCCATTCAGTTATTCAATAAAACCCTTTTCACAGGGTATCCGCGGGTCCTTAACCCTTTGATGCATAATGGTCACTACAGTGGACAGGTACTCAAAATTGTTATTTATTTGTTTTTGATATTAAGCACAGCTGTTGAAGACTTTATTGCATTTGAGCACCTCCATTTGGACTTCAGTATGTCAAGCCAACATATTTCATGCTCAGAGTGCACGCTGTCCACTGAGGTGGACATGTAATAAATTATTTGTAAATTATAAAATTTTGCAAAAAATATTTGTTGAAATTTGTTTCATTCACACCTAAAGACGAATGAAATTTTTTTTTTAAAAATCATGGTTCAAGATTTCATAATTCATGCATCAAAGGGTTAAAAAGTCTTAAAAAGTCTTAAATTTGCTTTTCCAAATTTAAGGCCTTAAAAATCCTTAAAAATGACAAATAATCCTTAAATACAGTTTCCAAAGGTCTTAAATTACCAAAGACCCAATAAACAAGATTCTTTTATTTTTGTCAAATTTTTGTGAATTTCTAGTTGGTGTTCAGCATTTTTTGTGTATGATGTTGGCGTAAGCGGAACCGTACATGTTCAGTTGGTTGTGAAAGGGGACTATTTTTAGATGAGCACATTAGCTGGTTATGCTAGTGGGAGCTTGCGCCATGGGGAAGTGCAAGTTTAATAGTAACTGGATGGCTAATCCCACGTTCGCGACATGGTTAGCACCGGTTCCAGGCAATAGCTGGAAATTATAGCTTAAATTTAATTTTAAAAATAACTTCAATTTGGTCAAAGTGGCCTTAAAAAAGGTCTCAAAAAGTCTTAAATTTGGCTCCCTTAAACCTGCAGATACCCTGTTTCAGAACATTTGTTTATAAATAAACAAGCTACCAGATCAGAGGAGCTTGTTAATAAACTTTAAATGTTGTCGCTCTACAGACTTCCTTTCTAGGAGAGCCCCAAAGACCTTTGTGTCCATTTATCACTTCAGAGTTGGTCACTGAACAAAACTCATGAAGGGCTTCCTGCTGTGTTTTCTTCTTGATGCCTTAGCTCCTTGTGCAGACTGCAAGCCCCCAGCAGGACAACGAAAGGACCATAAATTTGTATTCTTCCCTCTCTTTGGTAGTTCATTGTGGAGTGCCATGGCAACACACTGCTGCCTCAGTTTCTGGGGATGTACCGTCTCACAGTGGACGGAGACGAGACCTACATGATTGTAACGCGCAACGTCTTCTCTCACCGCCTTTCTGTCTACAAAAAATATGATCTGAAGGTAGGAGGGGGCAAAGCGAATACAGGAGGACAAACGGCTTTACTGTAGATGTCATGGTTACATGGTTAGATGTTGTTGACTTTTTTTTTTATCCCCCTTTGGTCTCCAGGTGTAGGATCATTCCATGTAGACATGTTTTACAAAGCTCAACCTTTACTTTCCAGACTTTTTAGCACAAGTTTTTTGAATTGTTGTTTTTGTCTGTTCCAGGGTTCCACTGTGGCGAGAGAGGCCAGCGACAAGGAGAAGGTACAGTCACCCGCCGGGAGCCGCTGCTGTTCTTACCGACACATTTCTACGTCTTCACAGGATCAACCTTTACAAAATAAACAAAACACTGTTAGTAAGCACAAGAAAAGGTCAGGGTTTAGGATTACAGATGATTAAAGAGTCAAACTTGCATCTGTGTTTTATCTAAAATGCAAAAAGTCAACAGGGAAAAAGCGTCTCTTGAATGTTTTACATAAAACTCATCTGAATGGTTCCGATTTTTATGTTTTGGAAGAAAAGGAAACAAGTCCAGAGTCATTGTGCTCATTTGAACAGCCGCTTATGCTTTAATCAGTGTTTTTAAGCATAATTGGCATTCAGAATCTCATTTTACACATGCGCTAAATGTGGGGTGAATGTTTTAAAATGGGTCAAATCCAGACTTGTACCAACAACGGTTATTCTGATTGAGCTGCTTTTTAATTAAAAAAGTCACGTGGACGGTTAGAGAATGAGTTTGGAAATAACCCGAGTTCCCAGCACACTGTCACCACCCAAACGCACAAAACGCAACTGCAGAGTTTTTTTGTTTCCTTTGGGTGGAAATGACTGTAACAAACATCCATCCTCCTCAGTTACGACCTGCCTCATCCCTCCATCCTCCTCCAGCCACTGCATGCTGCTTGTGCCTCTTTAATTTGCTTCATCTCTTCTAACCTGGCTTCTGCAGCTCCATTAGTCCCCCTGCTTGCTGTCTGTGTGAGAGACGGAGCGATGTGAGTGCTTGAGTTTTTGCCCAGTCCCATGTCGTCTTGATGGAATTGTTCTATGTATGATCTAATGTGGTTGAAATGTGTATCTAACTGGGGTGTGTGTTGTGTACTTATGAGAAAAAAATGTGCGTTATTAATGATAAAAGATGCTTCTAAAGATTATCGGTTCATTCTGAGAATGGACGGTGTCAGACATTGCAAACAGGTCCAATTTCAGCATGATTCTTTGAACTGTGATGATTTTATCAGATTTTTTTTGATAATCCACAGTATTAACTTTATTCTTATGAATTTTACATTAGCTATTCACAGTTTTAGTCGTTTCAACTTTCCACCAAGTTTTACCAAAGCTGAGTTGTCGGGCACTAAGCAGCGAGGCGTGGAAGACTGCAGGGAATCTCCGAGCTAAATTTAGCCCTCTGCAGATGAAGGAATAGGAAAACAAAACATTAGGACTGGGAGTAAAAGCGAAACCAGCTCAGGATTTAATGCTTGTGAGCCCTCTAAAGACCCCTTTGTTGTTTTTTATGAACTCTGAAACTGATGAACATGAAAGATGATGGTCCAAAACTTCAGAGATTTTAAATGCAACAGTTGTCATATTCCTTCAGTCTTAGTTGGGTTTTTAGGTCGATATTCTTCCTCACTGGTTATGAACTACAGTTCATGATCTCACATAGTCGCAGAAAGGGTTAAACACCTCAGTTATTAATATGTAGCGCTGCACAATATTAGGAAAACACGCGTCTAGGTGAGCTAGGTAAAGAAGGTGTTGAACGCCGAAAACCCATTTTTAAGTATTATTTCTGATTGTAATCTGTCATTCTGAGTTTTTCATGCATTCTGAACATGCAAATAGTCTCCTACACCTATCTCCTGCATCGGCGTCTCATAAAAAAATAGACGGTGAAATTCTAGGATTTGAAAAGCCCGACAGATGTACGTCACTTAACATTCGTGGACTCGCCCAACTTAACTCGCAACGGGAGAGGATGTTGTTGGGTTAGCGTCCAGGAAACATCTCAGTGGGTAGCGGCTTACTGTTAGCTTTAGCGTCTCCACCACACAGCAGAACTCCCAAGCTTGAGTTAATTGTGGCGATGAAACCTCAACATTGCAGAACAGAGTCAGTTGTAGAGACATATTGCTATTATCCAATCAGAGGAGAGATGTCTAAATATCAGGAAGTAAGACTTCAAATCCTGCCTTGTTAAGCTCACCGCTGACGTGACGTTCTGCTAGTTCCTGAAACAAGCGCATCTGAGCTTTCTTCCCCCCCGAGTCCGACTTGCATTCATTCCTACTAAAGACCACTGCAAACGTATAAATGAGTGTCCCACACCTTTAATAGGGATGCATGATGTAGCTGTCAACATCCGTATCGGCCAATTATAGTAATTTTTTTATCGTATCAGTCCAATATGTGTTTCAGGAGGAAGGGGGGAGTGGCCATGAGGTATTTGTTTGGTCATGTGACAGCGATGTGGAGGTAGAGCAGAGATGGTGTCAAAAGTGTAGATCGTAAATATTGGTTATCGGCGGCCCTAATTTCCATATCGGTGAACATATCTAGAACAGTGAGGTTCCATCTGATTATAGCAGTCATGTCATGCTGTCATTTTGACAGTGATACTGATCAGTAGAAATGAATACATTCATGAACATGTATATTCTGCAGCAACCTATGCTACCACTGTGCCACTGGCAAAGTGCTGTCTGAGTTGACTTATACTTTTAAAAAGAATGAATTTTCACTGTAGAAAAGGGTCTGGAGGTGGACTGTATTTGAATAATGCCATCATCACATGGTGAGTAATTGTTTTATTCTGGTACCAGCTGGGTTTATGCTCAAGCATCAATCATTTTACCAGATTCCTGGTCAAAATGTGCTTTGTTCATTTTAAATCCATGTAGCCGTTAATGACTTGTGTCTAACTAAACATGACATAGGCTGTTGTTGGAGTAAACGATCCCCGAACGTGTTTCTGATGAGTCATGTTTATGATACAGCCTTGTAATAATGTCAGTGCTTTATTCTTCTGAATTCGATGCTCTGGTCGGGTCTCGGTCAGAAGGACTAGAGGTTTTTCCCACACATGAGCTGCACACGCTTCGGCTTTGTTTTCAGACCTAAAAGCTAGTTCAATGGCTAAAAGTCCGTTTGAAACCCTAGTGAACATGCACCATAGTGCCCAGCCCGTCCATTTTGAGACGGTAGCACTCTGATATTTTATCTTCAATACATCACGTTGCCTTTAAGGGCTAAACGGACACATTCCCACCCAACACTAGTGTCCAGAAGGTCCAGATCCTGTGTGTGTGTGTGCGTGTGTGTGTGTGTGTGTGTGTGTGTGTGTGTGTGTGTGTTCAGAAAGCAGCAGCTACACACACAAACAAGCACAGCAGGGTCCTCCCTCTACTGCATGGCCCTCGTCCCTTCATGCATGCATCTGCATGACACATAAATATTTTTTTGCATTCTTCCTAACACGTGCTGATGTGTAGAAACACCAGCGTCGTTCTGTTGCACGTTCCCAACATGTTGTTTTCTGCTCCTATAAAGCACGGCATGTAACTCGTCTTTTCAGAAGACACTTTGGGATTTCTCATAGCTGCTGTCTCGGGTTTTGGCTGTCGTTTCTGTGCAGATCTAGAAGCCAAGCAAATAACTGGTGGTTTGATGCATTTTTCTTTTATTTGACTAAAAAATCTGCTTTTTCACCGCTCCTTGATAAGCCAGACGCTGTTTTTTAGCAGTACTTTTTGCGGTTAGGCACAGAAATGCTGTCCTTGACATGTGAACAGTGATCCGCTCCCTACTGGACTCGTGTTTGTTTTATGACCTGCAACCAATTTAATTCACGATCTGGTCCTTTCTGTCCTCTCTGCAGATGAGGGCGCTTGGTTCTAATATTGTGAAGGGAATGAGTGTGCAGCCTTGGTATTTTTGTCTCCCTTTCATTAGAAACACTAGAACTTTAGATGTAGCTCACCTGCTCAGGGTTGTAGAAAATAAATGGACTTAGTGGTTTCCTTGCTTGTCTGAGGCTGAGATCCTTCCCCTTTAGAGATTCACCACCACTGTGGCAACTTTACGGCAGGAAAGAGAATAATTATGAAAAACATCACTCAGAGCACCTTTTAATAAAGTATGTATAGTCTTGCATATAAGCCCTCCCCGTGCACTTTGAATTGAGCACCGCTCAGCATTAGCTTACGTACAGATGTGGAGCATGCACACACGTTGGTGGGCGCACCTAGACTGATTCAGAGTTGGTGACATTTCTTATTAACATATGTTTAAAAATCGTGAAAAACAACATAACAAAAATAATTGCAAATGTTTTAATTGTCCGGATAGAGATGCACATTTACGAGCGAGAGGCATTGCTTCCAGCAAAAATCACAGAAGTATGGGAGCTTAAAGGGGCCACATCATGGAAAATCCACTGTTTGGAGCTTTTTACTTTTTAATATTATTTCCTCATGAAAAAAACTCAAACGCGTTTTTGGCTGCATTCATGCATGTTCCTGTCTCAGCTGCATATTTTGAGTTTTACTTTGAAAATCCTGTAAAGCCTCAGTGGAAACTAGTCTCGCCATGAGGCGCAGCTAGCTGCCCTATGGGAAACTAAGAGTTTTATTTCCAAGTTGAAATTTAGGCTGATGAAAATAACTCGTCTTTAAGATAAATCACATCTCAATAGTGCCAACGGTGATATTTGATATTGGCCTACATTTGCTTCCAATGGTTTAAAATGACATGATATTGAACCTTTAAGGTGCAGTACATTGTTTCACCTCTAGATGGTGTCCTCTGAGAAAAAACTTCTGATATCTGCTTTAATTTTCAACATTGGAATTATTTTATAGTTTAAAATCGTGCCAAAGAGCAAACTTACACATGTATTTACACAAAATCAGGCTGTTATACTTGATGATCGATTTATCGCCCTTTCCTAACCCTTCTTTAAAAAAAAGGCAGGGAAAAAAGATTTATGCTCTGTTACTTTTGCTACACTTTGCCTTCCAACTTCCTTCCTCTTTCCTTTCTTCTCTCCTCTCCCTTACTCCCCCCTTTTTCTAGCAGCCACCCCCATCAGAGGATGTGCCCCCGCGGCCCAAATCTGGTAACGTTCAGCAAAGGCTGCAAACTCTGCGGATTGCCACGCGCTTTTACTGCGCCATGAAACACGTAAGAGATGTAAGAGAACCAGGGCTCATATCAGGCATGATCTATTAAAAACACTCTTCATTTTATTGCAACATACACAGATTTCTCTTTATTTTGCTTATTTATTTTTTGCAAATCAACTTTTTTTGTTTCCACGTTTTCTCCAGAAACTGTTTTGCACACATTTCATTCATTTCCAGTCACCTATTTGCTCAGGTTATCAGTTAAAGGGGTTTATTTATTTATTTGTTTGTTTGTTTTGGAGCAGCATTATGATCTGTCTTTTCTGTTTTTACGAACAGTAGTGTTATAAATGCTGCCATCACTGTTGATTCTGCACTTTTGTAGGTGTCTAAAAGGACGTGAACACAATTAAAACATGTATCTGTGAGTTGTTGTGAAACTGACCTGCTATGAAGGGTGTTTCATCTTCCTGCCTCAGATAAATACTTCTGTTTTTCTGTTTTGAATCAGTGAAGTACATCATTTGTTGTTCTAATCAGCAGAGATGGAGACTTCTGTTCACTCTGCCTCATGATGCTTCTTTTCCGTCACATTTTAAGTCTCATCTTCCAGTCATAGTTAAACATCCCATATTTACTGAGAACTGGAGGTCTATGTCTCTGTATATATGTGCTCAAGTCTGTTTGGTGGGTTTGTGCAAAGATCTGTTCTTGGTGTGTGTGTGTGAGTGAGTGTGTGTCCCGTCTGAGCTGAAGTTGTGTTGCCGCTCTCCTCCCGCTGCCATAGAAACATTGTAGTAGCTAAACTGCAGCTGTTGCCCTGTTACCTCATTTCCTGCTCTTTGTTTATCCCCTCAGCGCTTCAGAACCAGGTCCCCGTCCCCTCCTACATAGCATCTCTGTCCCTTATAGGCTGCAGGCCCTCCTGCAGCAGCATCGTTAAATAGAAATCCAACTTCATGGACGTTAAGTCTGTTCCTCACTGGGTTTGGTACGGAAGCCTTTTGCCGTGCGATGAAATAAAAATACGGGAGCAGAATCTTGCAATAATGAGAACATTTCTTGTTAAAATGTGATAAGATTTTCTCTTTAACAAGAAACTCTCATAACGACATACAAACACAGTTTTAATGAGAATCTTTCACTTAATATATTTAATCTCAATACGGTTAAACTGGATTCTTTTGTGGCGTTCTACATAGAATGAACGAGGTAGTTATCCCAGTTCTTGGTGTTTGGTATTTAGGAGGTGCAGCAGCAGCGTATGGAGGAAAACCGCCAAACAGCAGAGCTTAAATCAACAAAATACACTCACTAGCGGTAAAATCCACCATTTCTGCCACAAACACAGCGTTGACAAGGCAACATACCAGTAGCTTTTCGTGCCGATAGGTTGCGTTTAAGTTAAAGTGGGGGACACCTTGATCAAAGACAAAAAGGCATCTTGTCCCTCTGTTCCTTAGTAACGACATTCAAACATGCTGCAAGACTTGACAGTTATAAACGCGTATTACATTCATGTTATTACATGACATTTTCTTAGTAAAATGTAGGGATGTGTACCTTTGACATTTGAATCGATTCGGTACGAATTCCCGGTACCTAGGAATCGATACCGGTACTTAACAGTACCGATTTGATACTTTTGAGTGTTTATTATTTTAATTCTCTTTTATAATTAAATATATATTTCTCTCAATATATAACAATATTTGATAAATATCACGATAAATAACATTCAACTGTTTGTATTTTAACATCGTCCTTGTAGTTTTATAAGCTGATAATTAAACTGAAGCAAACATCTTTACTGTGAACTAAATTTACTGTGTATCTTCATTCCTTTTGCCGTCTTTTTTCATTTGATTTTTCCTACTGGGAAGTTAGAATTTCCGAGGAGAAAGCGAACACACCATTAGCTGATAACAATGGTAGCAATGGAAGCTAACATATCAAGCTAACGTTATCTTAAACAGTTTATTTAACTGCTGGAGCAGATTAAAATGATGATGCCTCACACTTAGATCGTTGTTGCTGGTTTCATCTTCACCCAATCACCCGTCGCATTTAGTAAAGTGAAGCCAAATTTAGAGCGCGTTTATGTTCTAGTCGGAAATTCTGAGTTCTGAGGAGAAAGCGAACGCACCATTAGCGAAACGGAAGCTAACATATCAAGCTAACATTATCTTAAACATTTTATTTGCCTACCGGAGCAGATTAAGATGAGGATGTCTCACTTAGATAGTTGTCGCTGGTTTCATCATCACCCAGTTACCCATCACATTTAGTGAAGTGGACCCAAGCTTTAGCGTGCGTTCTTTCTACCATGCTGCTCTGTTTACAACTGGGTCGCAGTGAGCGACAACATAACGCTCTTGCGCATGCGCAGCTGTCTTGGCAAGTTCTCGTTATGAAGGACGGGTACCGAAACGAGGCACCGTTTGAAATGACGTGAATCGGTGCTCGGTCGGTACTATGGAATTCGGTCTGTACCTTAAAAAGTACCGAATTCGGTACCCATCCCTAGAATTGTCGTTATGACAGTTTCTTGTTCAAAGTAGATTTATATCATGTTTATATCATTACTGCAATACTCCTCTATTTTTCCCTCACCGACGGTCATGGGCTTCCATAATTTTGACTGTGGCTGATTAGGCCTCACTGATGTGTTGCATTGATTATGAACATAATAGAAAAACAAACTTTACAATTTATTTTTTTTCATGAGTCAAAGTTGGAGTTAACACAGCTGCATGTAAAGCAAACAAATCACTTCCCACGTCACACCAATTCAAAGTGATTTTTAAATTTTTACACATTTTCTCTAAATTTTGTTTCTCAAAAAGTTTCTAACCAGTGAAAATCTAGTGAGGTACAGGCTTTAGCTTTGTAGACTAAATATTTAAAAGTGATTTTGTAGATTTATAAAACAAAGCTTTAACCTCAGTGGTGCTACATAGAACAGATACAGCACTATTAGTCAGACATTTTCAGCTGCTTTAGTGGGTTTCTGGTGTTTTGTCACAATAGTGTATGAATCTATTTCATGCATTGCTTACATTCATATTTAATGTGCCGTAATTACCCCCCAGAAATGAAACCATTTGGTAATGAGTGTCCTGTTGCATCAGATGGACTTCTACTCTGTGAGCTTGTAACCAAATCTGCTGTAGTTAGCAAAGATGTCAAACCAGCAGTGTTTTCCTAGATTTCCTGTATCAGACAGACGAATCCAAGTAAATACCCACAGATCCTTCTGTGTACATCAGGTGTTTCAACAGGTAGAATGATTTACACCCACACACACACTTATTGACCCCACCACACCTCAATAAACCACACAATATTCAAAACTTTGGCCAGTCTTTAGATGTTTCTACTAGTCTGATGCTTCTGTTCCATTTAGACTCAAGTCTGGAGGTTTTCTGTGTGCCTCCCGTCTCTGCAGGGGTTTCTTGTTGTTGGGGCGTTTTTATTATTTTTTATAGCAGCTAATGTCTGATGCTAATGAACAGGCCAAGGAGCTGCCCACATACAAGGACAACGACTTCATCAATGATGGGCAGAAGATTCACATCGATGGGGAGAACAAAAAAATGTTTCTGGAGAAACTGAGGAAAGATGTGGAGGTGAGTATTAGAAAATGGGAGTTTTATGTGGATGTGCTCTCGGTTGTCACACCACCTCTCTCCCTTCCTTCAGTTCCTGGCTCAGCTGAAGCTCATGGATTACAGCCTGCTGGTGGGGATCCACGACGTGGAGCGGGCCGAGCAGGAAGAGGTGGAGAGTGAGGACAACGAGGTGGAGGAGGAGGGTGAAAGCGACGGAGGAGGAATCGGAACACCGCCCGACAGTCCCAGCAACACCCTGGACAGCAACAAGCCTCTGTGCCCCGGAGAGTTTGATCCATCCATCGATGTCTACGCCATCAAAAGCAACGAAGGTGAGTGGTTTTCTCCACAGAAACCCAGGGTGGCTACCTCCCCCTGGTGGATCCTGTTTGCATCACATATGGCAAAATAGGCTCCTTTTTCCACTTTGTGTTGCTTTTCACTTCCAATGATCCTCTCAGAGTGTTTGTTTCCAACTACAGGTGCTCCCAGGAAGGAGGTGTACTTCATGGCTATTATAGACATCCTGCAGCATTATGACGCCAAGAAGAAAGCTGCCCACGCCGCCAAAACTGTCAAACACGGGGTAGGTTGCTGAACACGGGTCCTGTAAGTGCAAAGAATATTTTACACTAAAACTTAAAGAGCAAATTGCAGGTTAGACTGCCATGAACCAATGTTTAGAGAAACATAATAGAAACTCATTTTAAACATTTTTTACACAAACAAATTATTTAGGCTTTTAGTCATTTTTGTGAGAATGGTTTATTTTGCCAAATCAAGTGATGTCACCTGAGGAAGTCCTGTTTGCTTAATCCAGAGAAAAATCTGGACTCTAATGCGGCTCTGACACAGAGGAAACTAAATGTTTATAATTCTGCTTCTGATGGACCAAAACCACAAAGTTATGAGTTTGCTGCACGCCCCAGAGAGCAGAGACAAACCAGAGGGATTGTGGAGAACAGCAGGTGTCTGAGTTAACCATGTTAGCTTAAACTCGTGCGCTAACATCACAATATTTTACAGATTACTATCGTGTACCAGATAATTAAAATTGTATCGATCAGTCAATATTAATACTGATGAGCATCTGTGAGCGGTCTCATACTCGTTAATATTTGCTCACGTAACGTAGTTTAGTGCTTAGAGAGAGGGATTGAGTGATCTGGTTCTGGAGCTCATGCGGGCTTCTGTGAGCTGGATCCAACCCAGAAACCACCGAGCCAGTCCAGCTGGTATTTTTAAAAGCTGCGCATCCTCTCCTGGTAGTCCAGACGGCAGTTCTGATCCGGTTCCAGCTCAGAAACCAGCTGGCCCGCTGAGCTGCGCGTCTGTTCTGGTGATCGGAGCTCCAGAAATCCACATTTAGCTTTTTAAACCCCGCCACGGGTATCTGGAGCCCAGCGCGGACCTCCTTGACCCGGTACCGACTGATGTGGGCTACAGAAGTCCGTCTTTTCAGCTGCACAAAACCCCCTCAGACACAGAGATAGAGGCGTTATTTCCCTTATCTGGAAACCCGGGGACGCGATGGCCAGACAGGCTGGAGTCGGTACAGCCTTCACCCACTATAGTTTATCCAGTGGCGGCGCCAGGGGGCGCTATGGCTACCCTTGGATTAGTCATAGCACCCCCAAGTAAATATTAGATTATAATTTTTACAATTTAATTTTAATTTAACGTGTGGATGTGATAATATTTAACATACAAAACAAAATTAATCAGTAAATTATCATATAGATAGTAAAAACTTAAACAGGAAATTGATGTTAACCTTTGACCTCATTTTCCACCTTCGAACGAGTGAAAGGTAGAGCTAGTGGTAAAATGGATCATTTTTGTTGCCCAAATTTCCACGAGTTCAGTCAGAAACGAATGAATCTTTGGAAGTGATCTCAGACCCACAAAAACCTACGGATCTGGATGAAGAGAGTCAACCCTCAACCGCTGCAGCAGTCCAGGGTTTTGCTGCTGGAAATGCTAACACTAACGTTAGCTAACCTTGCAACACCATAGGTGGTTTTCTGTGTGGCTGTATGCGTTTATGATTTCATGGAAAAGTCAGCGATTGTTCATATGTTTATGATGTATATTAATGATTGTTTCAGGTGTTGCTGAGGTTTTGTGCACGCATGGGTATCTGCTAGTGTTGAAGGTGTTTTAGAGAATAGGTACGCATGACCACTTCCTTCATAGCACCTGCAGAAAAACATTTCTGGAGCTGCCACTGAGTTCATCAACATGAACACAATCCTACTCTAGTAAACACACACTGACTGGATCACATGACCTCTCTACCCTAAAACTAGCCAATCTCCACACTGAGCTGAGGCAGCGCCGAGCTTCCGACTCCCGTTGGTTACGTCAGAGTTCACATTTAGAAAAAAGCTTAGCTGAGAAAGGTCTCTTTTTACTAGAAAACTCTCCTGTTATGTATTTTAAAATGAAATTTCCACAATAAGCTTTTAAATAGTATTTTGACAGCATTTTATATGAATTAGAAAAAAATTACCTGCAATTTGCTTTTTAAATTCTTATAGTGAATCTGCTGATTCTAACCTTCAGAGTGGCCCACGAGTCGGTGTGTTCTGCAGATGTAAAGTTGGTTTTCTGAAGGTAAAATGTGACTCCTGCTGCTGTTAACCCCTGGTGAATGTTTGTGTGCACTGCAGGCCGGAGCAGAGATCTCCACGGTGAACCCAGAGCAATACTCCAAGAGATTTTATGACTTCATCACCACTATCCTGTCATAGCCTCCAGGAGCAGCAAAGGGAGAAAATAGGAGGCCTCTCTTTTTTTTTTGGCTCTCCTTCCTTCGGTGGGGTGCAGCATGCTGCAGCTTAACAAAACCCAGTTTGTTTACATTTAAACCTCCTCTGTTAAAAGCGAGTGTCCTAGTCTTCATGTTGTTTTTATTGTTATTTTTCCATCACCTGCATGTTTTTATCCTGATTGTGATGTTCAGTGGGAGGGCGGGATTTTTGTCCAGAGGAAAGTTCCTCATGAGGAAGCAGTCTTCCAGTAGGCCAAAAACCAAACCCATTCCGCTTTGAGCTTCTCCTCCATCTCGTTTACTTGCGTTCAAAGCTTCTGGGTCATTCTGTCGCCGCTCTTCTCGTTATGTATCGTTTGTTTACACCTCGTTGGGTCTGTCTCGTTTGTGATTTGGAACGCTAAAGGGAAGGGAGTGGTAAAAAGAGATGGATTTGAGTTCACGGCCTTGGTGGTAAGCACTCTGAAAGTGTGTGTGTTCCCAGCGGTCACACAGCTCAACAGCACCTTATGAGTAAAAGCAAAACAGTCGCACTTTCGCTTTGTGGTTTGGATCCATTATTCTGTTACACGCGCTAGAGCCTGACCTCAAATCCCGCCTTCACTTCTTAAATGGATCTCAGCAGGGCTTTTCTAAGTGTTCTGTTCCTTTGTGGTGTTGTAGGAGTGGTTTTTAAATTTCCTTAAGGGCCAGCCATCAGTGAGTTCACACAGAAGGACGTTTACCTCCAACATCGTACCAGCACACACCCAGCGACGACCAAGGGTGTGTGTGTGTCAGTGTTCGCCAGTTGTAAACAGGAAGGAGGGAGGCTGGTTTAATTCATTAACACCAAACACTTTGGGCTCTAACTGTGTTTGTGACTTTGGTATTCACTTGTGTTATTTTACATTTTTTAAAATTATTTTCAGGTGTTTGAATTTGGTGATTTTATGACTTGTTTGTTTTTCTTTTTTGTATATTTTGCACAGGAGGAAAGTACCCAGATGTTACGATAATGACCCCAATTAGTTGATACCGTCTTAAGGGAAATGCAATATACGTGTGTGTGAGAAGTGTGTGTGTGACTTGTGTTTCACCTTTAACCGATTAAGAAGAAGCAGGTCAAGTCGTCCTTTCTCTAAACTTATTTCTTACATGCAAAAAGCTTCTGTCACATAATATTTACATTTATATTTTTACATTGAGTCTCAGTCTCGTGGTATTTAAAGAAAAATGACAAAAAAAAGGAAATTGAGCTATTAATGGTGCTGTGGTAACGAAGAATGATTTTTACAACATAGCTGTTCAAAGGTGTAAAATATAAAAGATGCATGTGAGCGGACCCAGGTTCCTTTCCTGTCTCCACTATGTGTTTGTGGTCTACGTGCCCCGCCCCCTCACTTTAACCACAGGTGTGTGTTTCAGTGGTAAATAGTCATGCTTTAAATAACTGTTTTTCATTATATACACTGTGCAAGATGTGTGCCTTTATACTCCAAATTATTTAATTTTATATTTTGTAATCTTTTTTTTAAACAAATGTAAAGTTTTTTTTAATGTTAGGGCGTTTACGTTTTTGTTTTCTCAGCACTTCAGTGTTCGTTCAATAAAACCCTTCCATGATTGTTTTCTAACCAACAAACATTAGTGTACCTAATTAGGTGTGTGTGTGTGTGTGCGCGCGCGTGTGTGTGTGTTGTACTCCTTGCTTTGTTTTTGGCATCCTTTGAAACAAACCTGCTGTCACCATAAACTTTGCCAGAAGCGGCGGTCCAGACTTCTTCCATGAGCTTAAGAACATTGTTTGGTATTGTGTGTCTTTGTTTAAAGTAAATGTCCATTTTTTTTCTTCCTCCTCCTTTGTGGTAAAACGGAGTGAGCTGTGCAGTGCTTGTATGTGGGTTAGGGTTAGAGGGTGGAGCATCCTCTGCAGGTGTGGGAGGGCTTTGTTTTTAATTGAAGCTTTGCAGATAAAATATCCCAAATGGATTCAAACTGTTGAATGAGCACATGGAAAATCTTATTTCCACCTGCAGAGTCTGATGCTTTCACCTGGGCATTGTTCAAAACACGGTGTGTGCGCGCGCGCATCAGTTTGACAGCTGGGTGTTCTTCAGTGGCAGAGAGGTGAAAAATGAAATAACTGTTTATTGTTCTCCACATTTAATGATAATACCAGTGCACTGCATTCACTCCAACCTGTTTAATTAAAGCACTTGTTCTGCTTAACTGTACTTTGACTCATTCTTCATATTTACATATATATATATATAGAAATAGAAAGTAGCGCCGTCGTTCTGTATACTATGTTTACACATTAAACTTACTAATTTTAAAAAAAATTAAGAACGCATTGTCGTTTCTCCCTCATAATGAAGCGTTTTAATAAATTAAAATTGTAACGAAGAATAAAATGCTAAAACGTCTGGCGGAAGGATATGGCAGACAAAGCAGCTAGGTTATGATAATGTTCAGCAGCTCACGCGCCACCGGTAGGCTTTAACTGCTTACTGGGTAAAACAGCTGCAAATTTTTTACAATCGTTTGAATATATGTTTATATTGCTTTATTAGAACATAATGCCTTCTACAAAAACGTAACCCATTAGGTGTATTTATTTAGCTTTTAAGGTTGGTTTTTAGCTCATCTACGAGTTAATATTTCATACTTAAGACTATTTTGTTTATTTTTGCTAACTTTTCGTTTACGTTCATTTCTGCCCTTTACCTCCTTGTAGACATGCAAATAGTCAAGTTTGGACATTATTAAAATAAAACACGGCTAAAGTTAATAAATGCTGCGTCATTAATGTAAGTGATGGAAGTGTATCCTTCCGCCAGATGCGATTCTTGTTCTCGGATCGAATAGAACGAGGTTTATTACTGAAAAGAACAAATTTAAACTCAATATTGGTTTAACAGTTTGTTTAAAACTGGATTTATATTTTACACAAACGGAAAAAATAGCCTTAAAAATGTTTTGTATTTTTACTGAGAGGTTAATAGCTGCGGCAGCTGCAGACACGCCGATCTCCGCGCTCTCCCCTACGAAGGGGCCGAAGCTTCTTCCCCTGCCCGAGTACAATGTGGAGAGCGAGCAGACAATAAACAAAGAGCCACTCGCCATGTTTAAGCTGCAGCTGCTACACGCACGCTCACAGCGGAGCTGCAGTGCGCAGCGGCCGCCAGAGGGCAGACCGAGCGCTGCAGAGCCGGAGACTTTAATATTTTCTAAACACTGAAAACGCCTCAAAGCAGGTAACCGAATGGAAAACGATCTAATTTTAAAGATTTGGCCACAATTCATCCGAACAGACAAGTTATACATGAAAGTGAGCAGAATCAATACCCCCTGCTGCTTTGACAATGAACTTGACCTTTGACCTTTTGTATAGTGGGGGGGGGGGCTACATTAGGAAGTAGCTAATTACTACAAATAGCAACATTGTATGTAAATGTTTTCATGTGTCAATGCCTTTTAAATCTACTGTGGATTATCAGAAATGCAGATGACATCCATTTAGATTTAAACAGCTTTTATTTTGAAAATTAACAAGTTTTAAGACACTGGATTTATTACTATTACTATTATATTTAATGGATAGAGTGCACTGAAGAGTAGAGTTGTCCAGGTCAGTGGGTGTGTATGGCCTGTGAGTAACCACTGCTAGTCCCATTAAGTTCTGAGATTTAGCACATTTAAATGACCAGACTTCTCTAAAAGCAGCCCTCACCTTCAGGGAAGCAGCTGGTGATGGTGTTGATGTGCTTCTGCAGCTCAGAGTCAGGCTCCGCCTCCCTCTCCAGTCCTCCAATGGTAAAACACCCGACGGGCCTTGCTGTCGTGAGGCAGCACCTTGTGGAAGGAGAGGTTTAACACAGATCTAAGCACACATCGATCATCATGTTTGACTCACCTTGCTGAGCTGGCAGAGGACGTGTTTGAGGATGCTGGTGCGAGCGTCGTAGAGAAGTGGCTCCAGGCTCTGCGGGGAGGTGGACTTCTGCAGGATCCCCTTCAGGACCTTCTTACTCTGAAAGGCATCATTACTCTCATTACTCCTTTCACTGCTTCCACTGATGCTTCGACTCCATCCTGTCTCTTACTTTGGCCTGCAGATCCATGAGCTGCCAGCATCCATGTAGAGCTCAAGGAGCCGGGGTAGCAAGTTGGCCGTTGCCACCGCCTTGGCATGCTCTGGGGTGTGAGAGCCTATCTGACCAATTGACCAGACTGTAGCTGCCTTCATGTGCTGCTCAGACTCCTCAGACAGACACAGAGCCAGCTGTGGCACCCCCTGCAGGACTGGAGACACTGCTCAGGCTGATCCACAGAGCCAAGAGTATCCAACAGGGAGGTGCGGCCATCTTAGAGAGGATGACAGCCATGGCGAGGGTCTCACTCACATATCCCAGCATCACGATCCCCGGCAGCCGCAGTTTTCCGTGGAATTACCACGGCTCCTAGCCCACCCCAGTTCAGTCACCTGGGAAAGCTGGAACCACACACACCTGTGTTACAGAGGCTGTGTATTTACAAAATTATCAATTTCTATAAGTTAGTGGCGAGTACCTCCAGTGCGAGTTTCGCCACCTCCATCAACAGAGTGGCGACATCCTTCCTGACGTACTCGTCCGGATCTCTGAGGGAGAGCAGAGCAGCAGGGAAGACCTAAGCTTCCAGAACCATCTCAGACAGGCTCACGGAGTGTTTGCTGATGTGGCTGAGGGCCGGAAACGCCTGCCTCTGGAGACACACACAAACATTTTCACACATCAGATTTTAACACTGCATTAAAATTTAAAGTTGCAATTTTATTTAATGTAGCTGCAAAAATCTGCCTCAACTTAAAAAACAAAATTTGGGGATTAGACTTTAATCACAGGCAAAAATCTAAATTTTATGTTTCTTTATGAAACTTAACTGCATCATATCTGAAGATTTTTTTAATGTTTCAATCTTTTAAATCTAACTTATGTAAAATAAAAACTGTTAAAGGTTTGATTTTCTTAAATTTGGAGCTCCAATAATATGTTTCTGGCCACTGCAAGACAAAGTACTGCTGTTCTTTTCAGCTTCATCTGCTCAGAAAAGCAGGAAACAATTTTCAACGTCATTTATGTGCCTGGGATTTTTTCCAAATTGTTTTATTTGTATTGAACACTCATACATTTAATAGAAATGTTTTGGGAACTTGTCATTTGATCCCAACTCAAAGCCGTTTCCAGGAAGATAAATTTTCCACAGATATCACGGATCTTAATTTTAAGTAATGAAATCAAATCAATATTGTAAAAACAAATTTATTCTGTCAACTTTTGATTATTTTTCCCCATTAATTTCCTTTTCACAGATTATAAGTTTGAAGTCTGTACTACAACGCACGCAGGGTCATTATTGCCCAAACAGGAGTCGTGGAAGTACATTAAATCAGATTTATTATAGCACAAGAAAAGTTAGAATGATGCAAAGAAAAACAAATCACCAGCCGTTAGCAGGCTACAACCCTGCAGTTGGAGACATCACAGCAGGGCCAGACCAAGCAGAACACATTTCTGAAGCCCATCTCCAACTGGTAGAACACACACACACACACACACACACACACACACACACACACACACACACACACACACACACACACACACACACACACACACACACACACACACACACACACACACACACACACACACACACACACACACACCGTCGCTGAGCTTGTCCCAAATTGCGTGCTGTGACGTCATCTCCTTAAGGATCTGTAGTATAGGGCTGGGTAGCTGCGCCTTTTAATCCGGGACACAACCCAGAAACCACGGCAAAGCAGCAACCCTCGTGATTGATGAATGCTAGACCTCTCCCGCAATAAGTAAAAAATGAATAAATAAAAACATCAGAACGCCATAAAGACGCAAACATGCATGAGAGCAACAAAACAACAAACACACCGCCGACGCCGTGCCTCTCTCAACTCTTCACTCCCAGAGAGCTGATGCTTCTTCAGGGTCTGCAAGCCCAACATTAAACATTAAAAACCGAATGATGAGAACCCGGAAACACCTGCACCTCCCCATTCAAACCCGCCTTCCTCACCGAGCCGACACAAAATGAACGACTCTCTCGTTTCAGCACGCAGAACAAACTTTTGTGCACTCTCATTGGCCCCGGAGTTAATCACCCAAACCCGCTGCAGCCGCGCCAACATTATGATACACCAGGGCCAGCAATCCACATCCGCGTTTACCTTTTAGCCCATAAGTTCTGAATGAACCAACACTTTCTGAAGACATTTACATAATTTAGATCATGCAAAATAACGTTTTTAAAGAACAGTTTGAAAAGCTGCAGAGCAATCATTTCTGCACCTTCCAAAGGCTTTATTTCATAAAACAAAAACGCAACTGAACAGGATAAAAAAACAAACATTTGTGTCATACATTTGCTGTGGTTTTATATAGATAATGATTATTATTATTATAGAACTGCGGTTTTTTTCTGTGTGGTTTTCTCAGCTTATGTTTTGCTTACAATAGGAAGTCTGTTACTTTGTAATTTATTGTATTTAATCTCTCCTGTTATATTTATATACTTTATTGCAATAATATTATTTATTTTAATAAAGGAGGTTTAGTGAAAGGGAATTGCTTTTAAAACATGTGTTCTACAGATTTTTCCTTTAAAAAATTTAATTCTGCAGAAATCAATATTTGAAGTGAATAAAAGTGAATTAATTAAAAATGTTGTCAGATAAATAATAAAAACATGTTTTTAATCAGTTGAAGTCTCTTGAGTGACCTGATGAACACCCAGGAACAACATTTGTAAAACCCATCATGAGAAAACTTGCTTTTTTCCACTTACAGTTAAAATGACTTAAAGAGCAAGTCACCCCCAAATCAACTATTTTTTTTTTTTTTTTTGCTGATAAACTCTATAAAGCAGTGTCTAATCGTGCTACGGACACGTGTAGTCAATAATTTGGCAGTTCGGTGCATCTTGGTTATAAAATTCAAATTTTCTGCCTAAAACTGTCAGTGTTGCGCCGTCGTCAGGGAAAAATTCTGCACTGTATTTGAATTTAAATCTGCCACCACTATTGGCTAAGAGGTATGCTATGATGTCATCTGGTATATTATGATGTCACAATGCCATTGTGAGCCTGTGTGTGTATTTGCTAGCGGCTCTTCCCTCTCGGTCTGCCAAGCAACAGCATTTGTTGCATAAAAGTGGAAGACGTTTCCTGATTTAAGTAAAAGTATTAAAGTATGTATTTTAAAATACAACTCAATGTAAAACATACATTTATTCAACTAACATTTAGCTAAATCTTGAAGTATTTTTACTTGTGGTGCTTTTTAGAAAATGCAGTGGATTAGAAAGCACAGATGTTTCCTTTAAAATGTAAAGTAAGTAGGTCTCAAGACAATTGCTTATACAGAAAGTGTGTTCTTCAGGATAATATTCCATTACTGGATCCCATCCAGAGGGCACCTGACCCCTAAGGGGGGCCCAGCACCCTCCGATCTTCATGTTCCTTTATAGTGTCTTTTTAAAGATGTGAAATATGAGACAAAAGCTGACATAAATAATTCCGAAGGATGAGATGCGTACGGATTTGGAGCCCAGAGAGAGAACCAGCTGAGCCAGGATGCCCTCCAACACCACAGCCTCAGCCAGGCTCTCTGGTGTTGGTCGGCCAGCCCGATGAGAGCCAGAACTGCAGCCTGGATGCTGGTGACGTCATCAGCATCAGGGGACGCAGCAGGGTTATCACAGGAGAGAGGGGAGAGAAGAGATTATTATTATTATTATTATTATTATTATTGTTGTTGTTGTTATTATTATTGTTTTTATTGTTATTGTCATTATTATTATTATTGTTATTGTTGTTGTTATTATTATTGTTGTTGTTATTATTGTTATTATTATTATTTTAGTTTATCTGCATTTATGAGGATTTCTGTGTTTTGTGGTCTGCTAGCCAGAGCAGCAACACTGTTGCTTCTCAAAGCCTGTACAGATGATTGAGTTAAGGTGGCTCGTTTCTTCTGCAGGTGAACGGCTGGAGTCTCACCTGGGAGGATTTGCCGCGAGCTCATTGTGATCCTGGTTTAAAAATAAAAATAAGACAAATTTAAAGTCGCTTTCTCCACTCAAACTAATCTGTTCCGGGTTTCCAGGCAGTTTCTGAAGCGCATTCTTTAAAAAAAACGTCGAGTTGTTGGACGTTGCCATGACAACCTCCGGGAAGCAGAGCGTTTGCGAATCATCAACAAAGACTGTTTATTATAAAGAAGAGCGCTCGCTCTGGCTCAGTTTTCTCTGAGTTCATGGTTTTGCTGCTTTTGCTCAGAGTGAGACCGCCGATGCACATCTCTGCTCTGCATCTCTTTTGTTCCCAAGAAAAAAGTGGACGTGTCGCGCGCTCTGGTGACGTCTATATTAGCAGATTCAAATGAAAACAGAAGTGAGAAACTGAAATAGTTTGGCCGAAATAACAGGCGTGGGTGAGCGGAGCTGGAACTTTCCAGAAGATAACATTACTTTCTTGACTTTTATGCCCACTTCTACAACCACAGACTCAAAGTCCTGCTGAAACAAGCATGGGCCAGAAACGTCGCTGACCTCTGACACCAAGTCGTTTACTCGTGTGTGTCTATTTGTTTTATTTTTATTATTCATATTTTATTAAAACCATGTGAGACAAACAATATGGCTTTGTATGGGCTAAAGCAATTTTTTAAATGTAATTTATTCATTTGTTTATTTATTAATTAATTTTATAATTTTTAACTGGATGTGTAATTGACCGTCCATATTGTAAAATCGAGTGGGGGTTGCAGGGACAAAAATGTTGTCCTCCTCGTCAGAACCTTCCAGTAATCACAGAGTCCCAGGGTTTTAATCAACAACAACAACAACCTTTATTTATAACGTTAATATTAAAAACCACACAAGCCTAAAACCGACAACCCTTCCTTTAAAACCCGTGTTCAATTCAATTAAATTCAAAAATACTTTATTAATCCCAGAGGGAAATTGATTGCTGTAGTAGCTCAGAATAATAATAATAATCAAGTCGTCAAAGAGTTATTGTATATTACGATGGCTGTTGGCAGGAAGGATCTCCAGTAGCGGTCAGTGTTGCAGCCAAACTGAAGAAGCCTCTGACTGAAGACACTCTTCCGTTGTCGGACAGT